TGCATCTGTAAGAACGGTTACTCTGGAGAATTTTGTGAAAAAAGTAAGTTTAAACTATTAAATTTGATGCAAGATTTGCCATTGCGCTGCATGTCTGTAAAGTATCTGCAGATTTTCCTTAAGTTTATTTTATGGTTAAAACAGCCTTTACAGAATTTTATCCATGTATTTTTCCCCACTCCTGGGCATAGTTCATCTGATGGTACAAAATAAAAAAACAAACAAACAAACAAACAAAAAAACCGGTAATTTACCAAATATCCTATAGCTAGATTCATTCCCCTCTTTTTTGTATTTTGTAGTATTTCCAGCCGTTCAGCTTCAGAACTGCTCTCAAGCTCCCAAGAAAACTGGGATTTACAACATTTTGAATCACGGATCAGGGCCTTTCCCTGTCTACTGCGACCAGACAACGGACGGTGGAGGTATGTGTCACACTGATCATGAATTAGATACTTCAGTGGTTTTCGTAGAAGTCGTTGTTTTGAGGTAGTGAGGCGACTTGGTCACGAAAACCTCCGGATTTAAGATGCTGTAGTTCCTAGGTGGATGATTTTCCGTCCCTTTCTCACTGTCTCACAAATAGTCAATGTTGATACCTAAACAGTCATTAAAGATAAATCAGCGCATTGGAGACAGTCTCGCCACCAAAAATCTGAAGTTTACAGCAAGGTTTTTAGGCACCAAATGGTTCAACTCCTTAAATCGCTTTGTTTGCTGCGCGCCCGGTTTTTTCCTATTCCTCTTCAAAATTGCCCGACATAGACTTCATCCTGTTCTTTCTGTCCTTTGCGTCACTCGGCAGCAAACTTTAGTGTCAAAAGAGAATAGTCACAATGTAACATCCAGTTATCGAGGCGAAAAAAAACAAGAGAATGTTATGAAGTAGGCAGGTTTTAGTATTTAGGACTGTTTCAGTTTGAAACTGTTTCTAAATGTAAAAATTTCATGTTTTTACTTTTACAAAAATTTTAAGACCACTAAAGGGTAAGCTGGAACAAATTAACGCGAGTCAAGAGCGGTTAGAAAATAAATTAAAAATCGCGTTTAAATCGCTGTTTCATGGAGATAATTCAAAATTGGAAAATTTGGATTGCAAGAAGCTTACAATTTCTAAAAACCACTTTTTTTGGTTCTTTAATCAAGGTTGGATGATGATATTCAAAGTTATTGGTGGAATAAATTCTTCATTTTCTGCTGGGGAGTTCTGGAATTCATCCGACACATTTTCAGAAAATGTTACCGCTGCCCTAGATACCACTTCATCCTACCGAGGAAACTACAAAAACCTTATTGTACAAAGTTGGCAAATGTTCAGTCCTAAAGAGGTAAAATTCTCTTTGTTAGCACCTTTGGAAATGTAGAGAGAACTTTATGGAGAATATGCATACTGATGTTAGGGTGTAAAAGGGTTAAATATCGTGGCTTAAAGGTTTTTGTGGTTTTTTAGCCTGAATTAACTACATCTGTGTTGTGCCGCCTCTTAAGACACTTTTAAACATCGTCTCAATTCCTGCACATGTGGAGATATTTTATACTTGTGGTTAACTAAACCCAGAATTTCGTTTAGTGATCGTGACAGGTTTCTGCTACCCTGCGAGAGTTTAGTATCTTGACAAAGAGCCCGGCGAAATGACCCAAGCCGAGGCTCGAACTTAAACTTTAAGTCTTGCATGAAGAAAGTGTTTGTTCCCTTCTAAAGTTGTTGCCCGGAAATTTTAAGTTCTAAAATGGTTATAGATGTTACACTCTGCGTAATTACACGTTGCATTCTTGGCTAAAAGGCAACGCGTTTCTCGGTTTGTAATGAGCATCGAAGTAACACAGGGTACTATTTGGCTACTTTTGCCTTGAGACCTGTGAAATGTGGGAATGGCTAGGCTAGGCTCCCTTAACCCTTGAAGTGATTAACATGAAACTTCTCCCCATAATATCCATACATTATCTAGCAAACTGGTGATGAGAATACTCAAATCTATCAGGCAGGAATTGTTATCTTTAACGCTCGAAACTCCAGCTTTGAAACTCTTAACGGTGGCCACTTCACGTCATCAACTCGGTTGATATTACCAAATTACCTTGTTATACTCTCGCACCGACGCAGCACCACGGTTTGTATAGAAACTTTACCCCCTTTATTCGTTTAACCCTTCAACCCCACAAGTGACCAAGACAGAATTTCTCCTTACAACATCAATACAATATCAAGCAGGTAGGTGATGAGAATAGAGAAGAATATCAATTGTGGGATTATTAGTTGATCCAATACTAAATTCTCTGAACTAACATCATAAGAATTGTATGGCAGATAGTAAGGAGAATCACTAATTAGATCTTGGGCATGACAGGACGGAAAACGCGTGCACTTTTCTAAGGCTTTGTATGGGACAACGGGAGGTACTTACAGTGCACGCATTATCCGTCCTGTCATGGTAAAAGGGTCAAAGATATATTTTTTTAATGCCACTGTAGGCTCGTGTAGCACTTTACACAAATGGAACCGAAGTCGTGTCTATCATATTCAGTGCAAAAGGGAATTATAATATGAACTCCTTCTAAGTACATTTTTACTCCTGATTTCGTATGGACGTTTATCTGTTAGATTAAAAGAATCCAGAAATAATTATTAAGACTGTAAAGAAGCAACTCGGATTTGTATGAGTGGTTATTTGATATGTTATGTCACATTTAGAGAGCTTGTACCGAACAGAAATGTAAGTGGTGACAGATTAATGCTTTGAGTTGTAGACTTGATTAACAGCTGATTCGTTTTGAATTAAACCTGATACAAGGGTTGTACTTCATTGCTTATAAATCCTCTTTACTATTTAAAGGATACAGTGGATTTGCAAAGAATAAAAGTTCAATAAAATCGTATCTCAAGGAGTAAGCTTTCTTTGAGTTCAAAAGCGTTTTGCTTAAACTGCGACCTGTGATCTTATGTTGTGATCGTCCGGGTGAGAGTAGTCCTGAACAAAACTGTTGTGGGCAGTAATGACTGACATTTCGACAACTTCAACTGTAACATTTGGGTTTAAATTATTTACTGTACAAACTGTAACCTAAATTTTTCAACTATAGATATAATCAAGAGATCACGATCCCCAAAGACAAAGTTAATGCCAACACAGGAATATTTTCTACAACGGTGAAGACGTTATTGCAGAAAAGGTTCCGCTGAGCCTTTTAAATGGTTTGTTGTTAGCGAACAAACACGGCGAGGACGTCTGCAATCCCAACATTTCCTGTGAGATGGAATCATAACAGAGGCTTTTTTTTCAAAGGCTGAATGATTCTTTAGTTAAAATGATATTCATTCAGAAGTGAGAATTTCGCATGTGAAAAGTCAATGGTGCGGATGTACGTCTGTACGTTGGTGAATACTAAGAAACAAACAAAACAAGCAGAAACAAACAGGTACAGTAACAACGTACCAGGTAGTAAATGTGGATTGTTCATACAAGACCTTTCCATAAGTAAAGACTAATTTTCGGGAAATGGGAAGAAAATGCGAACTAGTAGAAGACGTGATCATGAATTTCGTGTTTTGCTTGACCGTTTTTCCGTGGCCCTTTGATGATTAAAGAGAATAGTGTGGGGGGGAGGGGAGGGAAGGGAAGGGGTCAAGCCCCATTCGAGATATTTTGAAACGATCACCACTGTCGTTTTTTTGAAGATGTTCGTTCATCTTTTTGACGTCTTTGACTACGTCAGGAAGAAAAAAAACTGCTCAGGCGACGAAATCTGGTGTCTCGAATAGCATGAAGTGAAGTAATACCTGAACAACAGAATTTTTTCCAATATCAAAATTACCGTAATTTTCCATACGCGACGCCACGCGCTGCTTGCTGTATTGGATACTAGGCCAAGGTGATCGTCTGTCCCAAGGACATACTGGGTGACTTGTAACTACCAACCAACCGATATCACTTTCACAACCAGTGTAAGGGCCAGTTATCTCAAAGAAGCGATCGGAAACTATGGGACCCAGAAGGCCAAAATTTACGGATGGGAACATCTTTAGATCACTCCATGGCGAGTAAATTAAGTTTTCATGTGAAAACCAATTCAAGTTGTCTGTACCAGTGGCATTGAACTTGAGGGAGGTAACTTGTTGACTGTCCTTGTATATAACGACGCGAACCTGAGGTTCATGGAAGTTAAAATCGACTGAAATTAACCCTTTGTAAAGAAACAATTTTTGTTAACTTTAACATTACGATATCACAAAATATGAGTAGATTTTCCAGGTTATAGGATCTTCATACTGTATCCTTAGTGACAGTTCGCATCATAGTCAACATACTAATCACTCAAGTAATTACTCGTTTCAAATCCATTTGCTACTTTCAAATTCTGAAAAAGTTTACAAGTCCACAATTTTCATTAGTTCCCTGACTGCTGAACGATCTCCTTGTGGCTTGAGTTCCTGCATGCCTTTGACTACTCCATCAGCTACTGCGCTCAACAGTATTCTTACCCAGATGTAATAAACTATAACCAAGTGT